TGTGGGTTGGGTGTGTGGTACAGGGGTAATTTGGTAATTATATATTATACCGAAGGTTTCCTTTTTATGTACCTTCTAGGGTTATAAATTAGGCTTGTATGTAGCCTTAAGGATTATCTCTGAATCTCTAAATTCTGTACTTTTTCTCAATTAGTGAAATGCCGCCGCTCTGCTCCCGAGGACGTAGGCATTTTTGCCGAACCTCGTTAAATCTCTGTGTTCTTTTAAATTTGTGTCGATTAGTGTTTTTCTTCGCCCTAATTTCTCAACAAACATGTCGACCCATAATTTGCACTTGTCGATTCCTAAATGAATTAATGTGTAGTACCTACTAGCTTGGGACTTGGCTAGTATCTCTAATGGCATTTACACTAAATAAATGGTTCCCACTTGTGTTGACTCATTCATTTGCTCATAGTTCAATAATTCAGCACCCATCAATTCTTCTATCAATTTCTTCCCATTGAAAATTTGTTTTATGCCGCTTGTCGGCCTGATGATAGCTCATCTCCACTTTTTTTACGTCATAAAAATTTGTTCCCATTGATATGCCATGCAAAACCCACATATTCATGGTTAGAAGCTTCATTGGAAGTCTTCATATCTTAACATCTCCGTTAACCCCTCATACGGCATTTGCCTCTTCCATTACATCAAACACCCCCAACAATAATCTTTAGCTCAACAAGTTTTAAGATGTCCACATTAGAGCTCTAATATGCTACAACTGACTTCTCAAAATCATGCCCCATTCTATATCAGACAAAATGTATTGTGAATCCTTTGTTCTTGACCATATGTTATAATAGGACGAGAAGTAGGGATGTTAACGATTCAATTCCAAGCCGGGTTAGGTTCGACTAAAAAAAAAATTTGCTCCAAAATTTTAGCTCGTGACTTAGCTCTTTTATTTTTATCTGATCTCGATTCAAGCCAAAATTTGAATCAACTTTCAAACGATTAATGATCTTCGAGCTATATTCGCTAAATTTACGTTCTTAACCTCACTAGGGCTGCTAACCATCCGATTTCAGTTAAAAAAAATTCAATTCAAAATTTTAGGTCGTAGCTCGGCTTGTTAATTTCAATCTGAGCCAAAATTCTAATCAATTTTGAGTGATTAATGATCTTCAAACTAAATTTACAATCCTAACAAGAAGTTCCCTCACATGTTATTCATTCTGCTATAAAAAATCTAACAAAAGTATACAAAGCATCTTGGATACTATAGCTTACCATTTTTATCCTTCAGATGTCAGCTGTATAACCCAATGGGCATCACATCACGCCTTCTCAGCAGATAATCAAATTTTTATCATTTAAATCTTAGAACTCTTATTAATAACTCAACCCTAAGGGAAAATTAAAATTAGATTATCCCTCATATTCTAATATCTCTTTGTACCTCCAAGTAGCAGCTTAATGCATATTAAACTCAGCCATTTGAAAAATCATATCTTCATTATCTTCTTCTTTGGAGTCTAGAAGTTGCCATTTTGAATGAAGTTATGGCATCTCTTTCTCAGTGACATATATGCTTAATGTCTCAATTTATCTTTTATTCATAATAAGGTAAAGAGTCTCCCCAATTGGAGCGATTATTGTATCAAGACACCGGACGCAAATTTGCATCTGAAGTCAAGTAGGAGTGTGCCACGTATCAAGTTGGTCATGGAGTCTAGAAGTTGCCATTTTGAATGAAGTTATGACATCTCTTTCTCAGTGACATATAAGCTTAATGTCTCAATTTATCTTTTATTTATAATAAGGTAAAGCCAATTGGAGTGATTACTGTATCAGGACACCAGACTCAAATTTGCATCCGAAGTCTAATGGGAGTGTGTCACATGTCAAGTTGGCCTCACTGTAATACACTGGTTGGGTAGGTTTTTAAGAGGGGTGGGGCCTACTTGCCACGTGACACACTCTTACTGGACTCTAGACACAAATGTAATAGTTTTTCCACCAATTGGCATTCCATTTAATAATAAAAAAAGGTTTAAAACATAGCAACCAATTCTTATGCATATACATGCCTCATATCAAAGCTCTTATTTTTACATTAATGCACCTTTCTCTATGTATGAAAAGCTGAATGTACATACATAGCACCCAATTCTTATGTATTTACATTTCTCACACCCATACTTTGTTTTTTTTCAGTTAATGCCCCTTTTTCTGTGTATGAAAAGTTGAATTTTTGTAATGCACCTTTTCATACACAGGGAAAAGTGCATGGGAAGTAAAAAATCAAATTTTGGTTGTGAGATATGCAAATGCATGAGAATGTATGTAAATTTACGAAAAAAAATGGTGTATTAACACTTGGTTGAAAAAATGTTGCTCATACATTTTGCATGTTTTTATTATGATAACATTTTATTTCATAGGATATTGGTCTATAAAGTAGAGTAAATTGAAAATCTATGTGAGAATATATGTAAACTTAACTCTATGTAGCATACATTATACTATCTTAAAAGTTATAAACTAAATTTATGGCATGTATTCAAAGGATCAATACATATTTGATGCAAAAAAAGAATTTTCAGAATTGAATGTTACAAAATATATTATAACCTACCTAAAAGATAGAAATACAATTATATTATATGGACTTGAAAACAAAAATGATTTTAGTTTTAAAAAACTAGGTCTTTATTTCTAGAGATTTCTTTCTTACAATATACTTGAATTGAATAAGTATATTTTATTTCAAGATGCATGTTACTAATAAGGGTAAGCATTTGTGATTAAGTACATCATATGTGAGATTATATCTTAATAGGACACAATTAAAATAGTGCCTTCTTCCCTTTGGCCTCTATCTTCGTCCAGTTTCTTTTTTGCCTTAGGAAGGGGCAACGATACAAATAGCACAAAGACGCTTCTCAGCACTTGGAGCATCATTTGAAGACTTTTGAGGGTTTGTCATGAAGGAATTCTAAGAGCCATCAGACTAAAACACGCAACCGCAGAAGCAAGGGTGATAGCAAAAGTGTCGATAATGCCCCGTTTATAAGTACTATGAGCACAGAAATTCAAGCCTTGATTATTAAATAAATGAATCTACTTTTACATTTAATATTTTTATTCTTATTGTGATTGCCGCTTTCAATAAATTAGAGATGAGGGAACTAAAAGGTGTACATCAGACTTGGGTCTGCACGAATCTCAAGGATCTCTAATAGACAAAAAGTACAAAGGAGTACAGCTGAAGAGGGCCCACAAGCGGAAGACTAAGAGCCCGTGGAAGAAAAATCAAGGGCCCGCGAGTGGAAGACCAAATATTGATCATCGAAAGACTAGGGTCTAGCATCATAAGGCTAAGCATTCATTATCGAAATACTGAAAGACCTGTCTGACTAGGTGCAACCCCTCTGATCCAAGGTTGAAGGTCGACCAAATAATTGCCTCTGAATTAAAGACTAAAGCCTATTGAACTGAGCAGGGGCATCAATCTGCCTCTTGTCATAACCCAAGTCAAGGGAAGAATGCAACATCCCCTGTTATTCTGTAGACTTGAGAATTCTCACTAGAGGCCGATAACTGGCCATCACATAGTTACACAGAGCATCCCTTAAGATCACCCTGTCGAGGAGTAAGTAATCTATCAGATTACAATGATTCACCCTTTGTCTGATAACCTAACATTGTTCTGTCGACATGAGTTTCTTATCTAATGATCATAATCAACAACAAGACTAGCATAGCTGACCGACAAAACTAAGTCAATCCAAACAAGTCTCACCAACTCAAAGACCATCAAAGGCCAACCAACAATCTTGATTCAACGAAGCCGAAAGAGCAGGTCTTACCATACAAAAACCGAACAACCTAAGCCAATCTGGCCATAAGGTAACCAAACCGAATGCCTACACTTGTAAAATGTCTAAAGTACCCTGTAAGGCCCCCATTAAAGCAAGGTCAATATGTAACTTCTTATATTGTACTATCTCTTCTATAAATGAAGGGATCATTTTCTCATAAAAGACTAATCAACAATTTCATTCATGTTCATTATTGTGCACTTCCCTTCTTATACATATATGAACCCCGCCAACCAACAGGCCAAGACTTGCGAATCAAACACAAAAAATAGAGTGCAGAAAATAAAGAGAATGATTTATGTGATAGTTTAGTGAGTTTGATCAAAGAATGCATTAGAAAAATAGCATCAACAATATAGTATTAAAGCATATAAATCTATATAAAATAATTATTTTTCTATTTGGTTAGGAGGAGCAGCGATTTGTGAAGAATGCAATATAGCAACAAATAAAAGAGAATATTGTACCATGATGAAGAAAAAGCTATATTTAAAATTTAGGGGAATTTATAAACATATCACGCAATTCTCATGCTACACTAAATTTTATTTTTATATTTATACCATCCCAATATTTCGTATCACATAAAAATCACTATTTTAATTTTTTTAAAAATATTTAAATAAGAAAAATATACTTTTTCATGCATAGCTAAGATGACATATATATAAAAAATTGAACTATAGGAACTATATATATAAATAAATAAGAATAACATGATATGTATGAATAACATCCTAAAATTTAATGTACTAGTTTTTTTTATTCATTAAATGAAATTTAAGAGGATTTGTCGATAATATTATTATTATTTTTTAATTTTAAAAAGAGTTTAAATATTTTGAATAAATTTTAAATTATTAAATTTATTTTAACATTAATTTAATTAAGAAAAAACTTATCTAAATTTATATTATGCAGTTTTAAAAATAAATTTTATAATTTTAAATTCATTTAAGAAATTGCTTCAATTTTATTAAATGAAAAAAATAATATAATTGCAATTACTATTTTTGGATATTCTGCTAATTTGCGTTTGAATTTGTAAAAATAACTAGATAAGTTATTTGAAGTTAATGCAACTGCTTGTTTCCTGGTCCTACGCTTTTTTTTCCTGTAGTTGCTGCTATTTTGCAGCTGTATTGCATTTATTTTATATAAAGCTTGATTAACCGAGAAACATTTTTTAATTTTCACTTTTTTCCTCTGTCAGAAAAAAAGGGTTCTTTGCCCTAAAAGGCAAGAAGGGGACGGCAGGAGGAGAGATCAAGAGTGCCGGAGCTGGCTAAGGATTCTCCGGCGATACCGCTTCGGTAAATTCTTGCATTTCATTGTACTCTTTTTCATTTCCATTTGTCTGGCGAAGCTTCTGCTGCATCTATTTTTGTAATTTCGCCGGAGGAAATGAAGAGAATGTAGAATGCTAGAAAGGGGGAAAAATGACATTTGGTCTAAAAAAATTGATTTGATGCCACATACAATAATCTACAACGAAAATGATTGCATTTAATTCTCAATTCTTAATGTGTAGTTGAAATAAGTAACTTTGCTCGATTCATGTTGAAATCTTACATTTGGATCCGACTGAGGATGTTTTCCAGGTTCAGAATTGCCACTCCCTAGAAAGGTTTGGTTAATTTAAACATCACAAGAGGTTTGGTAATGGGAACTAGTTTTTATTTTTATGTTTTTGAATTTGAGCACCTTATGTTTAAGTGAAGGACATAGTTGTGTTGGTCTAGTTTTATGATTCTGAATAAAAGACATTTTTCCCTACCTCAGGATGTAGACAATTCACTTAAGTCTTAATTTTCAATTTTTGATAGGTATGATACAATTTAAGATGACCTGCGTTTAGATTAATTTCGGGAGGCCCTCAGGAATGAACTTTTTGTGGTCAGCTTTTGAATCCTCCACCATTTATTAATGGTCCTTTATTCTTTCTTTTTTGTCTTTTTGCATAAAATTTCAATCATTTTGCCTTGTATTTGTCAATTTTCTTTCTATTCCACTTGCAATCTATCTACTTTCTTTATTGGTCCTACTTTTGTCTTTTATTGTATTTTGCTCAATTAAGTAACATTGATTTTTTATTACCTTAATATTAATAGGTGTTAATTACATTATATGTGTAGTATACATATTTCATACACATCCCTTCTAGTTCTACCATAAATTCATTCAACATTATTCTATCCATCGTACTCAATTTAGTTTATGCAACTTCTTTGTTGATTAGCCATCAAATCTACGTGACATATTTGATATAGTTCTAGTTTTATAAATTTTAATTTGATTCTCCATAATAATTTCTTTTCAAATAATATTTTTTAAAAATTACTTTTATATTCATCTTGCTTTTATTTTAAATGTTATGTTTTCTTCTAAATTCACATATTGTATTATAAATTTAAGGTACATAAACCTTTCACATGTAGGCTCTGCTTGTTGTTGCTAACATTAACTATTTTTTCTTCCAGAAATATTAAATTGTCATCATTAATTTCATATACCCTGATTTGCATATCTTCTACCAAATTTTGTTCTACTAATGCACATATTTTAACAAGTTTATCAACTATGCTTAAAATTCTCTTAGTGGTCTCACCTTGTAGTTGTTTTTGTTTTCAAAAAGAATAACCTTCTAGTAGGCATCTTTGTGTCCAATACAAAATAATGTTTACTTAACATTGATCTTCAATGTAGTTTTATTGTATTTGGAAATTCCGTAACAATTACTTCTGATGCTAGTGTTTGCTTTATCAACATGTCTTTAATAGTTTCAAAATTCCTTCAACACAATTTTTCTCTTTACTACTATATATTCAATTTTCATGACAGTCAATTACATATACTTTGAAGATCTTTGATAGTTGTGTTAAGTTTGTATCACTTCTCTATAACCTTTTGCATAATTTCTATGGCATAAAAGTTACATCTATTATTTATTTTATTGCCCTAAATCAAACAGATTATCTAATATGAATGCTCTTTAAGTTCATGTTCTAGTACTCTCATTCATTGTTTTATTCTATTACTTATACGTTTGATTCTTCTATACTTATCATAATGTTGCAATTGATTAAAGAAGAAACAAATTCCTTTCTAAACTATATGCATCATGTTAGTGTTTAGGTTTAATTAGAGAATGATTTACATGCTAACAACAATTCTTATGTTATTACATGTCTAACACTTAAACATTAATTTTTACACTTACAACACTTTACCTATGTATGAAACAGTGTATGCTATTTTTAAGAAGGTAATAATAATGGTATTTTCAATGTGATATTAAATATTTGACTATTATAAATGTAAAAAATTAAGTTTAGGTGTTAGAGATGGAAATATATAGGAAATTGTGTGGTATGCATGTAAATACCTTTTAATTAAATTGAATTGTTGGAGAGACTACATTAGCCTCTCTCATGATTCTTCAAATTGTAATTACTACAATTAATCATCCTCACTTAGCTATATGTTACATTTGGCTTTCCATTCTTCCCATAACTGACTTTTCAAACTATCTTGTACTTCAACTTTAGAAGCAATAACACCCATCCTCATTTGATAACTATCATTTTATCACTAACTCTTTTTTGTTTGCTAATTTTATCTTTTAACTCTACTATTTATCATATTGATTGTATTCCTATTGTTTACCTTCTCAACATACAAACATCCTTATAATGTTTCGAATTTCTTTAATTTTTTTTCTTACAAGTTCCTCAACTTAATACATGATTTTCATTCTTTTATAATTTCACCTTTCTAGTTTACTGAGTTTGAAACTCATGCTTGTTTGGAATTGCTTTCAATTTTTATTCTTTGTTCTATTATGTTTATTTTTTGATATGGAATAAAATATGTTTAATATCTTAAATATAGGTTATTTTTATTTTTCTTGAATGTTACATTAGTTGATTTATTTTGTGGTTTGGAAGATGGCTGTGTCATTGCGGCTTGAGGTGTCTGTGGACCAGGCAAAAAAATGTTGTCTTTAAAATGGGGCTAGCCTGTGGAAGCGCGGGGTTGGCAGATAGTGAGCATGGGACTAGCTGATGACTGTTGTAAATCTGGCTTGACGCACAAGGTCGAGTGGCTGGGAGTTACAATTTTGAAAATAATGCAAGCATTTAAAAGTCAAGTATTAACTAAATATGTTTTTTCTAAATTTTTTCAAACAAAACAAAAGACATAATTAAAAATTGATGCAAAACAAAATCTTAATCAACATTGCTCACTTTATACCATACTTTGAGTTAGGGTATGTGCTTCTTTATATTTGATGCCATTGCCAACCTTTCTCTATGTATTTGTTTGTTGTAGACCCTGTGTGCTATGGTGCAAGGCATCACGTGCAAGCCACTAATAGGCTACATGTGTTGCATGCAATTGTGTAAGGCATCATGTGTAGGTTAAATGCAAGCCAAATGATGATGGATGGGTGGGCTGCTAGCATTTTTGTCCACGTGCCCAACCACAAATCTTTAGGGCTAGAAAAGTAAGGGTGCTATAATGTGCTGCATGGAATCAAGGCCTAGAAACCAAAGGTTCAACTGCATCTTGTGCTAGTAAGTTCCTTGAAACGTAGATGGTGAACAATATTATGCCACTTGTGGGAGCCGCAATGGCAAACTGTTACCCACTTATATCCTAACGACAAGTTGGTTGGGTTATGTGTTGCCACTTCTAGTGTGCATTAGAACTGAAAAGTATTGAATTATGACTAATTGCATGGAACATCAACTTTCAACCTTTCCTATTTCGGGATTTGCAACCTTATGGGATTAGCATTGCCTAAGCTAGATATAGCGGTGTGCTTTTTTTGGTCAAAACTGAAAATTGAATAAAACCAGGCTCATTTGGTTGATTCAGTTTGGTTTTAAATTATTTATTGAAGTTTATTTTAAAATTTGCATTATTTGGTTTTTACTTTTCGGACCTGTTTTGACCATCAAACCAAAAAAATTAAAAAATAAAATAATATTAGGATTAAGAAATTAAATTCACTTAGATAGTATATTGAGTATATAACTTACTTATTTGGGTTAGTTTGAATCTTCTAATTTGAATAGTTGGGCGAGGAGATGAAATGAGATATGAAATTTCTAATTTTGAAATTGAACCGTTATTTTTATTAATTTTAAGCTTAATACTAAATTTCAGTTTGTGGTTTGGATTTGTTTTTGTAGAAGTTTAGTTGGTTCTGTTTTCTGAATTTTGGATTTCAGTTTCACTTTTTACTAATTTTTGAACTGATCATCCAAATCGACCGATTACACCCCCCGGCTAGAAAAAATATGAACGGTCAAACAATGAGCAAGCTTACCTTGTGTATTTAATGTTACAGATGGTATTTTCTTTTTGCTTTCTAGATGGTTATTCTTAATTTGGGTAATGAACTCTAATTCAGCCATTTGAGTTAGAGGAACTTTTGCAAATTTTTTCATGGCGTGTTCTATGTTCTTTGTTGCTTTTTTCAAGTTTATCTGAGGGTTTGTGTTGTAGGAATTCAAACTAAATTAAAAAGATTAAGCTTTCTCTAACATATTGACATTTGTAACCTTATGAACATTTTGCAAGCCACCTTATTTCTGGCGTGCTTGTAACCTGTAATCACTAATCCAATATAAATTCATTGTGATCATGTTCATATTTTTAATGGGTGGTTTTAGGATTTTGGAATAACAAGTGGAGGGCATTGGATATCTTGTTTTTTTTTTCTTTTTCTCCAAATCTCTCCATGAAATGGCCTACCTGAGTGATTCGGCTTTTTTAAGTTTTCCTGCCAAGAAAAAGTTCGGTTAGGTCAACACTAGCATAGGCTAGCCAAACTAACTCTATGTAGAGTTAATACTTGCAAGTTCATGATTTGACATTCTACACTGGCAAGCTTATTCTATTTAGGACAACTCAATTATTTCTGTTATTTGGCGGATCAGTAGATTCATTTATATATAGATACATCCTTTAAGCCACTAGAGCTTTATCTTTAGAGTTCATTATTAATGACTTAACATTTTTTTTTTGTTTTTGCTTGTTTCTTCAGTGTCTGTAGTTTGTTGGTTATCTAAGAAATAAAAACATCTTGCATGATTGTTTGTGGGTCATTGACTCGAGCGAAGCTCACTGAGGCTGCCATGATTATATTGGCAGAATGGTACACTCTTTGAAATTATTTGAAACGCATTACCATGCTTCATTATTTTCTCTCTCGTGAGATGCTGGGTACTCATCTGAACATCAAAATTGACAGGCAGACACATAGTACTTGTCCTTGTTCTCCAGTTTGTGTGTTTTAACTTCTATTTCTGTACTTTGTCAATTACAAATCTGCCCTAGTAAATTGCTAGTATTCATACTGCTGCTTAAAGCAGTGTTGGCCATTGAAACAACTGATATCAGCATTTCAATCTTCGAGCCGTCCTCTTGTCAAATTAAACTATATTTATTTTTAGTCAATTTTATTCAAGAAATTGTTTTTCATGTTTCGAGCATTGAGCATTATTATCAACCTAAACTATAGGACAAAAGTTGGTTATAAAGATTTCTCTGCTAGGTTTATTGATATGAAGCTCATTGAAGAAAAAAAAATATGTGATCCATAGGATTGGGACCAGTCACTTCCCAATCCTTATTTTGACTTCTATTCCAAATCCTTTTCCGGAAGACTTCATTCCAATTCGTTTAAGTGGACTCACATGTAGGGCTGTGAATTTAGCTCGAAGATCATTAATTGCTCGAAAATTGAATTAAATTTTGGCTCGGATTGAAAAAAAAGAGCCGAGATACTAGCCAAAATTTTGGGTCGAATTTTTTTCAGGTTGATTTTGTCGGATTGTTAACAAATTTGCTCTCATGGTACTTAGTCTTGTTAAGTTATATATTTTCTCGATGTTGTTGCTTATAGTTGTAGTTGGGTTTCATTTCTCGATGTTGTTGCTTATAGTTGTAGTTGGGTTTCATTTTAAAGCAGTGGAGACTGGAGATTTTATAGTTGAAGATCTATTTTTTATTGTATACAAAATACAAAATAGTCAAAATTTAAGGTCCTGATTGGCATCACTTTTGTTTTATATTCTTGTTTTTTTACTTTGTGTTTCTAAAAACATGTTTTATTAGTATAATTTTTATTTTAGTTTTTATTAACAAATCACCTCGTTTTTTAAAAATACTCAAAACCATCTAAAAGATGTTTTTAGTTTTTTTTTTTTTTTTTAACTACTAGCACAACAAAACATGTTTAATTCAAATCAAAATATAAACAAAATAAATAAAAATAAAAAATAGAAAAGAAAAAAAAATAAAAGTGATAAAAAATAGAGCTAAAGGGGTTGTGTGGGAGCACTTTTGATTTTTGTTTTTTTTTAATTTTGTTTTGTTTGTTTTTCTTTAAAACATAATTTTTTTGGTAGGATATAACTTTTTTTAGTTGTTTTTACAAGCACCCAAAATAACTTTTATATATTTTGAGTGTTTTTAAAAACAGACTAATTTATTTTTAAATAAAATAATAAAAACATACAAAAAATACATAAACAATTATGTTTTTAAAATAACTGCAGAAGCAAAAAAAGAAAGCAATCTAAAACAAGCCCCAAGTTTATTATGGCTAGAAGTGTGAATTGCGTGCTCGAACTTGACTTTTTAATACAGTTTAAAATTAGGTTAACTTGTTTGCATGTGTTAATGCTTTGCACTTAATTTGGGCGGTAAATGTTGTTTGCATGTTACTTTCTTTTAATCAAATCTGGCCTCACATAACTTCCTTCTTCTATAAATAGAAACATATGACTTAGTTAATTTTATACCTTGAAACTCTTAGGGGTAGGAAGACTTCACTTGCTTTATGTGTTTTAGAGTTTTTCATTTCTTCAAATAAGCCTTTAAGTATTTTGATTTCTTATATTTTATATTTTTATTTTTATTTTTATGTGTCTTTGTATTTATTCAAGTTTTAATCTAAGTTTCATTTATAACATTTTGAGTCCATTTTCTACTTGATGTATATTATATAAAGTCTTTTAAATTTGTCCCAAAATCCGACAACATTTCGGTAGCCTCCTGGCGTCATCCCCTGTGGGGGTTTGCTTCGAGAATCTATGCCTGCCCACCATGCCATGAAAGACATCCATGATCAGTGTCATGAGACACTGCAATCGAAATATTTAAACCTACCACGCCAAGAAGGACACGCATGAGATACATGTAATCATACTTCACAATACAAATTTTCTCATTACGTCGTGAGAGTCACCTAAAAGTTTTCTTTGCTACACTAAGAAAAACATGCACGAGTTCCGCTTGTCGCACCAAACTCATCACAAAAGGATTGCGCTGCAAAAGGTGCATATGAATTTCCCTCGTCACGCTAAGAAAAACACACATGAGTTCAGTTCATTGCGCCAAATGCATTGCAAAAGAGAATTGCATCGCAAATGTCGCCTATGACTTTTCCTTAGCCACACTAAAAAAATGTGAGTTCTGCTTGTTGCATCAAATACACTGCGATTGGTTTTAGAAGTTGAAAAATACCATCTTTTTTACCTTTGTAGACCGATAATGGGAGGGAGATGAATTCGTATGAATTTCTCGATACAAATTGCACTCACTCCCCCACTTTTCAGCCATTTACATACTCACACATATACATGTTCTTAAACAAGATTTATATTACTTTTCTTACCAATTTTTTTTGTTTAAAGCTATCCCATCCAACGTCATACTTAAATACATCATTCAAAAGTACAAAATGTAAATCATTCAAAAAACATAGATCTAATATATTCCTCGTTTTACCTCTGATTTCACATAAATGATTATTTGAACAACACATTTTGTGTAAATTTAATCGACCTGCCGAACAACAACAATAAACTTTATAGAACCTTAAATATAATTACTTCCCTGTTTTACCTTGCCTGTCATGTTGGCGGGGCCATTGAGAGAGTTGAGGGAGGAAAGTTCAGCTACTGGGAGGGTCGCCGCAGTTTGGACAAATTGAACAGAGATTGCTGTGGAGCAGGAAGTTGGGAGCAAGTTTTGTTGGGATCGGTGAGAGAAATGGAGGGTTTATTGGGAGCTAAGGTCAAGTGGAGGGATTTTCTGTGTAGAAGGGATGAGAGGAAGAGAGGGCTTATTGTGAGTGGTTTCTCGTGGGACCAGGGAGAAAGGGGGAGAGTTGGATGTGTGAGAGAGCAGATTGTTAGCTTCTCATCAGTGTGAGAGAGGAGTGGAGTCCGAGATAGAGTGATGGGAGAAGATCTTTGGGTAGGTTGGCTTGAGGGAGCAGAAATGAAAAGAAAAATGGTCAGTTGGAGGGTTTTTGGGTAGGTTGGCGTGAGAAAGAAGAAAAGAGGAAAAGTGAGAGGGGAGTGGTAGTTTGGTGTGAGAACTGATAGAGAGAGCAGGTTAGATAGGATTTTTTTTTAAAATTACTATTATCCTTATGTGATGTTGTGTGCTTTTATTGATTGAAAAATGTGATACATGGGTATGAAGTGACTTAGGCGGTGCGCTTGCCATGGATAGAATGGGAAGGGTTTTGAAAACTTTTTTTATAAACTTTTATTTAACATGCCTTGATTTACGTATTGTCAATTGTACCCAAAATATGACTATATGGGTGTTCTTCCTTAGCAAAATCATTACTTCAGCATGCTCGCGTTGCCCATTTTACGATTAGTGGTCATTTGAGCGACTTTATTACCGATCGAGACAATTAGAGTTTAAATTACGAGTGTCACTTTGCCATTGGACATCTGGATTCGTAGTTTCCTTAGTGAGGATAGCTTGGATCTTTAGATCGTGATGTTATACAATTTTTTTGGATTTAGTGCATCGCGATTAGAGGATCTGACAGAAGCAGTTCCAAAGCTCTTTATAGAAATTGAATATCTGTCCCCGGTTATTTCTAACATGACCAAGGATTTATTTTTGTACAATTTTTTGTCATTCTATTATGCCTTTTTGTCATTCTTACCACCAATGGAGGCTCAATCAGATATGGCATCTTACTAGTAGGTAGCTTGATTTATCAAGAAAAACAAGTTTATTTGACTGTTATAATTCTCGACATGATATTCTGTGTTTTCAAAAACATTTCGAATTTATAATTTTTTAATGTTCAAGAAATTCTATCTTGACATTATATTTGCGTTTGGATTCACATTCATGTTTGTGGAGCATTTAGCTATCTGGAGTACCCTTTATTTTTCATGGAGAGAGAATAACTCATTGTTATGCAGCTCTCATAGGTGACATCCACTTTAGAGTGAAAAATGGTGCACATTTTCTTCTTTACTTATTAGTTGTTGATAGTTTCCATTTAGTATATCAGTCAGAAGTGAGTGATATTCCCAACCATTTGATCAAAGTCGATATAATTGATGGTGTTTACCATAGAGACATGTGTTTACTTCGTAGAGGGCAATCACTACGGGATGCTGATTATTTTATCAGCGGTGAACCGGTTGGTTGGTCCTTCATTATGGCCGATTTATAATTCTAGAGGTATGTAACCCTAACAGGATTGTGAGAAAATTTAATTTTCTCAGACAATTATTTATGATAGATTGTTCATCATTCCTGATATTATTGATACTGATCATGCGAGGTCCGTTAGCTTGAAGGCAAGGATGTACGTTGCAGCTATGACGTTGGCACATCTTCTTCAACTTGACACTGGTTCAAAATTTCGCAAAGCTTCATTAGATGATCTTGCATAGGTTAGCTACAATAGGTTAACTTGGGTGAGGTTGGCTTTTACAACTCTTATGGAATAAGGATCCGAAAGTATGAGCGTTAGTTATGGCTGCTGGGTCTTCACTGATGATAGAGGCCCCGTTGTTGAGCTTCATAGATGGACAATAGTACCGATAAATTTTGTTCTTTGCTCCATCTTTTTTGTTTTTGAATACCCAAATCACACAAATTTGATAATTTTTATTTACTCTCTGATCATAAGTATTTAAGGAAGATCAGAATCTAGTGGATGCAATCTTACTCTCCAATGGGACGCGGTCCAGAGATTCGTCTCAAATTCAAATAGAGGCACCGAGTCCGACTCTTAGGTGTAGACATACTCCTTTTGTAGAGATTCCTCAAGCTTCGAAAAATTGGTTGGAGTGCGTAGCTTCACAGGAGTTTCATAGACCTGAAAAGGTACCATGTCAACCTAGATCGTTTGTTGGTGTTAAGCACACTATGTCAGAGAGCTTTTTGAGGAAGATGCCCTTGGTATGATCGCTGTGTCAAAGGAAAATGAACTACCCACAGGGACAAAAAGGCCCTTATAATGTGCTGGTTACTCCACTCGAGCTGTCCCCTTAGGCTCAAATCTAAATAAATCATCTCTAGGGAATGAAAAAACAATCTCAAAGCTCTTTGACATGGTGTGCTCGACACCAACAAATGGTTTGGGTTCACATGATACCTTTTTAGGTGTATGAAACTCCTGTGAAGTTGGGCTCACCAGTCAATTTGTTAGAGCTTGAGGAATTTCTACGGTAGTACGATTGTGCCTGCGAGTCGGACTCGGTGCCTATGTTTGAATTGTAGACAGCTCCATGGGCCTCGCCCCATTGGTGGGGACGATCTCATTCACCAGGTTCTGATTCTCATTGACTCCTTATGATCAGAAAGCAAACAAAAATTATCAAATAGTGTGATTTAAGTATTCAAAAAGAAAATAAATTGAGCATAAAACAAAATTTACTGCATTGCTATCTGTTTGCCAAGCCTTATGTTGGGGTATTTGTTCTTGAATACCTAGCAGCCGTACATGAAACTCATACTTTCGGGTGATACACCAAAATAATATACTATTTTATGTATACATTTTATGTCTATTTTGGTGATATTGTATTTTAAAGAATGATATTTTCATGTTTTTGTTGCAGGAATATCAATTTTAGGCATTTGGAGCAAAAAATAGTAAAAAGAAGAAAATTTGGAGCCAAAATGAAAATTTTCATAATCCTGGCGCCAGATTGGTGTCTGAAGCACCATTTTCCAGAAAGCTGGCGCCGTTTTATAGTGAAGCGGCGCCAGAAGTGCCAGAATCCAGAGATCAACGTAGACTTTATTAGGCTGGCGCTAGAGGCGCCAGAATTGACGCTTAGACGCCATAAGCGTCAGAGACGAATTAAGATGGAGTAAGGCGGTTCGTGACTATTTTTAAGCGGTTTTTGAAGGCTTCAAACAATTCAAACGTCTTATGGAGTGGTTCAATGTATCTAGACATTTTGGAAGACTCTTTAATGAAGAGATATGTCTCTTGGATGAATAGACTTGTCTGTTGGTGTTAAAAGATGTGACTTTTGGGGAAAAATTTGGAGGAAATTTTGAATACCTTTTGAAAGAATGTTGGCCCTAATTCATCAACAGACAAAATTGATATTCCTATTTAAATTTAATCAATGTTCGTTATGCACTCTTAGAAGGTAAAAAATATGATTGCTTCTATTTGACACAATATAATTTTATATATCTATTTTAAATAATTTTAATTTCTTCACATTCCAGTATAGGGGAATGATGTTTTCTTAAATTTGAACTTTTCGTTTCAAAATTTTGTTTAGTTTTTATAAGTTTATTTTTGAAGTTTAGCAATTAGTTTAGTTAACTAAGTTCTTTTAATTGCATTTCATTTAGTGAACATTAAATTTTCTTTAGATTTGTTTTGCTTAAGTTTTATAGTTTGAATATTGTATTTGACGTTATAACCATAAGAATTTCCAACTCCCTATGGGATCGATACTTATAACTCCATTAGAGTCATTTATTACTTGAGCGATGCATACACTTGCGTTATTATTACTGGTTTGACAGCTTACAGATTTTAGAAGATAAAATTACTTATACTGAATTTATTTTTATTGAGATTGAACTGCATATTTACTATTAGTCCTAACAGACCATGCATCAAGTTTTTTGTGCAGTTGTCGGGAAGTAACATTAAATTACTTTATAATTAAGAACATTTTATTTGAACTGAAAAATTATTTGTAGTTTAATTAAATATTTTTATATTTTAGTGTGTTTGCTTGTTTTTATATTGCCTATTGTGTTTATGTATGCGTAGTTTAAGATCGGTAGGTTTAATACCTTACGATTCATAGTTAGAAAGAACAATTAGAAAAATTCAAAAATAACAAAAAAAGAGAGATAATTTAAACAAAATGACTTGCAACTTAAATAATTATGGAAATGAAAATGAACATCATCAGAGACCTTTAAGAGATTATGTTAATCCTACAACAGATGAAATTCATTACTCTGTACAAAACTCTGCTGTAGCTGTCAATTCATTTGAGCTTAAATCTGCTATTATCCAAATGATATAAAATAATCAGTTTGGAGGAACACCAACTGAAGATCCTAATTCACACCTTACAAGTTTTCTAGAATTGCGTGCTATATTTAAATATGATGAAGTGTCAAATGATGCCGTCAGACTTAAACTTTTTTGTTTTTCATTAAGAGATAATGCTAAGTTGTGGTTAAACTCGTTAGCACCTGGATCTATTAGAACTTGGAGAGACTTATCACAAAAATTTTTATCTAAATATTTTCTTTCATTGAAAACTGCTAAACTTAGAAATGATATTACATTTTTTGTCAGTTTGAAGGGGAATCAATTTATAAAACTTGAGAAATATTTAAAGATCTCCTTAGGAAGTTTTTGCACCATGCGTTGCCAGATTGATTAATAATTCAAACTTTTTATAATAGATTTGTTGGATTTTTATAATAGATTTTTTTTATAATAGATTTGTTGGATCTCTTAGATCAATAATTGATGTTGCTGTTAATGGATCATTATTGTCAAAACTATTTGTTGAAGCGTATTCTTTAATTGAAGAGATAACTACTAATAATTTTTTAATGACCCTCTTAGAAGGTAAATCCAAAAAGAATTGTTAGTATGTATCATTCTGATGCAATATCTATGTTGGCTGCTCAAATTGCTGCAATATCAAAGAAAATAAATAAATATGGAATGAATTATTCTCAGACACCTCCTGTGCTTGAGGAAAATTTATAGGGACAAATAATAGAATCTCAATCTTCGTATGAGACTTTAAATGCAATAAACAACCGATCAATAATCCTTATTCCAATTATTATAATCCTGATTGAAAAAATCAGCTGAATTTCAGTTGGAGTAACAATAACTCTAATGTTGTAAATCCATAATGGGGGAACAATGCTACAAACCTACTGGGAAACTCCAACAATCAAGGGAATTCGAACTACAAACCCTATTACCCTCAAGGTTTTAATAGCAATTTGCAGAGTAAAGATAATAAATTGTCAATGGAAGAATTAATATTGTAAATGAGAAGTTGATTACAAAGTCAAGGAGCTGCACTTAGAAACATGAGAAATTAATTTGGATGTATTGCTACTGCACTTAGCAATAGACCTCCACGAACATTGCCTAGGAATGTTGAAGTTAATCCTAAAGATCAGAACTAAGAGCAAATTAAGATTATTCAACTAAGAAGGGGAAAAGAATTGGAAACAAAAGTTCAAAAAAGTTGAAGTTAAAGTTGAAAAAGAAGGGGCGGAAAATGAAAAATCTAATGAAGATTTTTATTTTGAGTCAGGATATTCTATCAAACCAATGAAAATTATTGTAAAAAGACCACCACATCCATTTCCTCAAAGATTGGAATAGAAAAACAAAGATAATCAATTTAAATTTTTTTTTAAAATATTAAGAAAATTGACAATAAACATTTCATTTGTTGAAGCCTTGGAACAAATGTCAAGCTATGTGAAGTTTATGAAGGATATACTTAATAAAAAATGGAAGTTTTTAGATAATTAGACTGTTGCGCTTAGTGAGGAGTGTAGCGCTATAATTCAGAAAAAGCTTCCTGAAAAACTTAGAGATTCTGATAGTTTTACTATTCCTTGTGCTATTGGCGAAAGATTTTTTATAAAACTTTATATGATTTGGGAGCCAGTATTAATCTTATGCCTCTATCGATTTTCAGAATGTTTGGTTTAGGAGAAATTTGACCCACTACTGTAACTTTTCCGTTAGCTGATCGTTCGATTACCTATCCTAAAGGAGTTATAAATGATGTTTTGGTAAAAGTTGATAAATTTATTTTTCCTGTGGATTTTATTGTGTTATATATGGAGGAAGATAAAGAAATTCCTATCATTTTAGGAAAATAATTTCTTGCTACTGGAAGAGCTTTGATAGATGTGCAGAAAGAACAATTGACGATGAGAGTTAGCGATCAAGAGGTCGCATTTAATGTTGCAAAGTCAATGAGTTATCCAACAAAAGGAACAGAGGATGAATGCTTCAGAATGAAAATTTATGATTATTTAAGCAATGATTATTTCACGTATGCATTTGAAAAGAAAACTAAAAAAGAGTATTTGGAGTATGAGGATGAGATAATATAATTCAAGATGAATCTATGGAAGTGAGTAATGAAGAATTGGATTATGTTCAGGAACAATTTGAATTGTTAGATCTTATGGATAAGAACAAAAATTTGATTCCATCGATTGAGAAATCTCCTGAACTAGAAGTGAAAATACTTCATACACATATAAAATGTCTTTTTAAGAGATTTATCTACATTACCTGTTATTGTATCTTCATGATTAACTGAAGCACAAGAACAAAATTTGTTGGAAACTTTAAAAAGATATAAGAAAGTCTTTAGATGGACATTAGCTGATATTAAATGAATCTCAGTCATTTGATTTGTATGCACAGAATTTTATTGGAAGAACATCATGAACCAAAAGCTGATGACTCATGAACCAAAAGCTGATGACCTGATGACCCTCAAAGAAGATTAAACCTGATGATGAAAGAAGTTGTTAAGAAAGAAATTTTAAAATGGTTAGATGCGAGAATAATATATCCTATGTCAGACAGTGTTTGGGTGTGTCCAATTCACAGTGTTTCAAAGAAATGAGGTGCGACTATAGTGAAAAATGAAAATAATGAATTATTACCAACAAAATAAGTCACTGAATGACGAATATGCATAAATTAAAGAAAGTTGAATTCGGTCATCAGGAAAGATCACTTTCCTTTATCCTTTTTGGACGAAATGTTGGATAGGCTAGCTGAACACAAATAATTTTGCTTTTTAGATGGATATATTGACTATTATCAAATATCAATTGCTC